TTTTTTTATTTTGAATGCTTATACACAGTGTATTAGTTATATAGATCATGTCATCCGAGCTTGAATTATTGAGACAACGTATCACTGAACTTGAGGCTGAGAATGCAGAGCTTAGGAAGGAGAATACTGAGATCCGCAATCTTAAATTCAAGCTCTCAGTGTCTGATGCTGAAATAGCCGAACTTAAGCATAGGAATGCTGAGTTTCTAAGAGCGAATAGGGAATATAATGAGAGGCGTGATGCCAAGGAAAAGAAATTAGAGCAGAAAAATGCAGAGCTTGAGGCTAGGCTTGCGGTAGTGGAAAAGAGTTATGTGGAAGTGGATGGGCAACCACAGAATGATAAGAAAGTGATATCAGAGGTGTTACCAGAGATATCAGCACCTAATAATAACGCGGACATCATTCTTAGATGATGCACATAAGAAAGGTGTTAGTAATGCGATAAGGCAACGTAATAGGGAGAAGAATTATTGCATGAATCGTCTACCAAGGACTTATCTGGGGATGTGAGTTTATTTAGTAAACCCCCCGCCTCTTCTGTAACTCAGGACAAAGAATCTCGATCACATAAGAAGAAAGTAGCGGAAAATATTGTGCAAGATGTATTTGATTTTACCATGGATGGATCTGAGAAAAATCACATGACAGAAATTTTGCTGACGGGACGCACCATCCCCCGTCAGCGAAATAATTGCCAAGAAAAGATAGAGTCCAAGGGGGACCTAGCAGAGTTATCAAGTTCAGATGTATTGCAAAATATAAACCGCCTATATGAAAATGCATGTACTGCAGAAAATGAAAGAGTAAAGGCCAATCAGGCGGAAATTTGGTGCTGGAGAAGTTTTATTATAGGACTAGATAAAAGTGTAAATGAAATTATGATCAAAGAAAAGGTAGGTATGAAGAAGGCCAAAGGACTGATTTACGATTTTATTCTTACACACAATCCTGACACCAAACGAAATACTTTATATCAGCGCATCAATAGAGCCAGGAAGGTTTATGAGTTTACCGAAAAAATAGGAATTGATAAAATCAAGTATATCAAAACGTATAACGCGAATGCTATCGCAGATTTATCCGTTAGCCAGATTCAAACTATTATTGATTATTTCTCCAAGAACCCCAACACCGAATTACCAGATGATCAAGAAGGCTCTAATATCGATTCTGAAGATTTCGGATGATCAGACAGATGCATCGGAGGCGGTTTCAGCTGAGGTAATCGAATCAACCTCACCTATTCCTGTATCTCATGACTTTAATTCTTCAAGTGAGACGAGTCCAGGCAATACTTCCAAAACTGAGGTGAGTACATCATCCACAATTTCTTCCAGTAAGGTAGGATTATCTAACAAATCCAGACTCCCGATTTCTATTTTACCTGATGATCCAGAAGAAAAACGAAAACATATCATTGGGTTGGTGTTAGAGCGCTTTCCTTCTTTATCTTTAAGAGATAGTAGTGAACGTTGTGAGTGGTTTAATCTTAATAGTTCAACACTCTGTCCATTATGTGAGGGAGACCATAAAGAAGAAAGTTTATGGAAAGATATAAAAGGTGAATGGGGTGTTGGTGACTGTTACGGAGAACGAACTTATCGTATCAAATGCAAGGATCCTCTTAATCGTGGAACCCAAATAGTATCTGTAAAAGCATAGACGAAAATTCGTCATGTGGACCGATCACCTGAAATGCGCAGAAGATATGGTGAATCTGATAGAGGTTATCTGTTATTATTATGATTTAAGTAGCGGGAAAAAACTTATAAAAATTCTGATTATATAATTAGTGCATATTAACACGCGATACTTGAATCCCATAACAGCAGATTAATAAAGTTAACTCAATAGTCTCCACTACATTGTAAAAAAATCATGTAAAAATAAAAAATGGTGGGTCCAACCCCTTCTTTATTTAATAAAAAATTGTTGCCGGAACAACAATACACCAATAAAAATATTTTTTTTTATTTATATAATAAAAAATACATCGCTGTTACATAATGCGAATAGAAGAAAAAAAATATTATTCCTTTGGTTTTGCGATAATATGAACTTGATTTGGATCAAAAGTTCCATTTTTAAAATAATCAAACATTTCGGCCGTCGAATTCTTAGGAATGATAACGTAGAGATCGAAATCTTGATGACCTAGATTCTTAACTGCGTCTTTAAGCACTGCAACCTTATCTTCCTTGCATATCTGAATATTAATACGATTACCATCCGGAAAAAGGCACTTAAGGCTAATAGGATTTGTGGTGGTCATTTTACGTACCTAAATACAAAAAAAATCATAGTAAGTAAAAAATCGTCTTCATAGACTGTATTAAATGGCAAAAACATTACTTTTTTAAAAAAAATTCGGCAAGTGAATCAAGTAAAAAATATATATGAGCAAAAAATAACGTTATTGCTAACTTATCTTATAGGCGGGGAACTTGCTTATTTTTATACCGTCCATTCGCTAGGTCTGAGAACCTGCCAGAAGGAAAACTCCATTAGTAATTACGTTACCCAAATCCAACGCCAGTTTTTATCTCCATAAAGCAACTCCGCTCGGTCATAAGTTCCAAATACTGAATGTATTTTATTATTTTTTTAGGTGAAATTAAACCCCCTTAGATTCGACGATCGCCTAAGGTGGATTTAGATCTGACGATCTCGAGACCCATTCTTATCGCGGGATCTTATATAAGGTAAGGGAAAAGTTCTAGAGCGCGTACCGTAAAACGCCGTATAAGGTACCCGGGTATCTTACAATTCACATGATAAAAATTTGATTTGTACCCCCCGGG